AGTGGCACTAGTAATATTACTGAGGGACAAACAGACATCATGTGTCCCTAGACATGATACCTTGAGAAAGACACAACATTACGTAGGATGCTCCAGCCAGAAATGCATAAACGGAGCCAAATTATGAGAAAGCATCAGACCACCTGAATTATATGGAGGACAACCCCTTGGTCCATGAGAGTCAAAGAAAGGCTGATGTGCTGCTTCAGATTAAGTAGAAAAAAAAGAGTTAGGGGGCGTAGTTCAGCTCTTACCTAGCATGGGTGAGGCCCCTGATTCCATCCCCAGTATTGCAAACAAAATAAAACAAACAAACAAACAAACACACTTGCTATGCTATGTACTTTGAGGCAATCGGTTCAGTTGGAATATGGACTGTAGCTCACATAAAAATATTGTATCAATAGTGTATTTCTGGAATTTGCTGATGGTTCTACTGTTAAGAGAATATCTTCTTTCTTAAGAAATGCACACTGAGATATTAAATGGTAAAAGGGCATGCTTACTCTCAAATGTTTCATAAAAAATAATTCTGCAAGCACAGATATAGAAAAAGAGGGAAGCCAGAATGTATGTGCATGACAGAAATAACAGAGAAGAGGCCCTGGGTCAAAACTTGGCCACTCTGGGTAATTGGTATATAGAGTTGTTTTTACCACTCTTAAAGCATTTCTGTAAGTTGGAAATTGTTTTAAAACAATACATTTAAAGAAGCACAGAGTGGGTGTGGTGGGGCATGCTGTGATCCCAGGGAGACAAGGCAGAAAGGTTACCAGTTGAAGGCCCACCTTGGCAGCTTGGTGAGACGCTGTCTCAAAATACCACTCAGTGGGAGAGTGCCCCTGGGTTCAATCCCCAGTACTCCCCAAAGATAAACAAATTTAAAAACAACAGTGGACTTACAATTTTTAAAAGTTATTAAGACTTAGCTGTAAAAATGAAACACCTGCAATTTTATTAAGCCCAGGTCATCCTTCCAGTTACCAGGGTGGTTATCAATCTGGAATAATTTTTCAAATAAAAGTGGAATCGGAATAAAGCTAAGTTTTGTTAGTAAAGCCAAGTATCACAAATCGTTTTTTTCTGTACATGCACATTAAATACATATGATTTAGAACTGATTGTAATTATTAACAGTATTTTTCATTATTTTGTATTATTTAACTTCATCCAATTACCTTTATTCAATCTTAACTGCCAAAGGTACATTGCTGCCAGTTTTTCTTACTATTAACAAGGCTTCTTAGAATATGCTTGTAGATAAATCAGAGTGCAAACACAAATTCATCCTAGGATAAACTCTTAGAAATGGAGTGCCTGGGTTAAGGGGCAAGCATTTTTCATGTGTCAAAAAAATTTCAAATTCCTTCCCCCAAAAGTTTATTTATTTATTTGTTCTTCTTAGTTACACCTGGCGGTAGAATGTATTTTGACATATCATACTTACATGGAGTACAACTTCTGTTTTTTTGTACCTAGGATTGATCCCAGGGACCTTAACCACTGAGACACATCCCAGTCCTTTTTTATATTTTATTTTATAAGACAGGGTCTCCCTGAGTTGCTTAGGGCCTCACTAATTTGCTGAAGCTGGCTTTGAACTCGCCATCCTCCTGCCTAAGCATTCTGAGGTGCTGGGATTATAAATATGCACCACCACACCCAGCCAAAAGTTTATATCAATGCATCGTTTCACTGATTCTATAGGAGAGAATCCTTCCCTTTCCCTCCAACCACATAATTTTTTCCTCTTCTGATTTTTGCTAAATGCAATAGGGGGAAAGGGTCTCTGCTTTATAGCTCTGATTTTTATTGCTGTGATAACGAGTGAGGGTGAACTTGATTACTTGTATTTTTCTTTTTCTAATTACAACTAATAATGTATTTGATCAAATCTTATGACGCATTGGTTGTAAGACACATTATCACTATTTTACATACCATTAAACAAAGAAAAATGCATCCCAAGTTCTGGGATGTTAAACATGTGCATTTAGAATTTGTGAAATAAGTTCTTTTTAAAACTACCTAGGAGAGCACTGGTCTGACAGCTCAGAATCAAGGCAGGAAGTGAGGCTGCCCTGGGACCCCTGTAATTAGGCCTGTTTCTCACCTTCCAGAATGATTCACCGAGTCCTTTAGGATTTTTCAGAACCTGAGTCATTCCTAAAACAAAGACAGTAATCCCTTCCTTGACCAACTTGTTTTTCACTTTTACTACTGTTTACTAAACACTAACGTTCTCTCTCAGCCAGGGTCTGCACAGGAGGAGTTTGCAATTTAATGGAGGAGACCAATAATTGTTCTGCCTGGGAAGTCAGATAGTGCTAACTTAATCTTGTGGGATTTATTCATTCAGCAAATAGTTATTCCTCCTCTAGTGTGTGCTGAGACTAGCCTTGGTGATGGGTTGTGGGGTATTTTGGAGACATGGGGAAGGGACAGCCCTTCTCTAAGGATCAGAACCATGAATTAGAACCATCAAGAAGAGACCATTTCCCCATTGCATTTGGCAAAGATCAGAAGATGAGAATTGATGTGATTGGAGACAAAGGGGAAAAAATAAATGCTCTCAGGAAAGGAAGAAGGAATAGTAAGGTGAAGGAATGGGACCTTAAATGATGTGTTTGGGAAATGGGAAGTGACCCAAAGGGTGGGGGAAGCTCTGGAGGATGAAGCTAAGAATGCAATATTATTAACCCTGTTTGGCTGATGGGGAAACGGAAGCTCAGAGAGGGTATGCAGTGTTGTGGGGTCCCACGGCTAACAAATGTTGCACTGGCTGGGTTAATCTGCCTGTGTACTTGGTTCTCCACCCCCTCCCTTAGGAGAAGGAGACACCATCTTTTATCCTAAGTGCCTAGCACAATGAGGTCTCATCATGGATGTGTCCTTTATATGTTTGTTGAATGAGTGAGTGAATGCGACAATGGACTACCAGAAGTGATGGATGACAGGTCTCTTCCGGCAGCCCACAGGCTGGGCAAGTCTGGGTTCCAGAAGTGTTCACAGCGACTCTGCCTAGGTGTTCCTTGAGGCCTATACTGTCCAGTCCCTGGTCCTGCATTGCCCAGATTGTACCAGGACGTGGCTTTATGTTCTGATCATCCTACATGGGACCCCTGCCAGGTCTGAGAAGGCAGCCTGCGTTGCAAGGACAGGCAGTGCCTCCTGGGACCTCAGGGTGAGGCAGCCAGGCCTGTTCTTGGAACCGCCCCTCTCCGCACAGATTTTCCTGGAGCAGTGACTCAGGGGCGTGGTCTGGCCATTTGGGCATATCTTGTTTCCAGGTGATCTGCTTCACGAGAAGGATCTATGAACTGTAAAATGCTGCCTTAGCAGGACGGATTGCCATTTGGTGTTGCTCCTAATCTCGTGGAAAGCGTTCTAATAGGGATGGATCTTAGTAAGCATGTCACGTGTCCTCTGCCTCCATTTCACAAATGTGACCAGTGAGGCCCACAGAGGGGAAGTGTCCCAGCCAAAGCCACTCAACAGGAAGGAGATGCAGGAGAAGTAGCACCCTGATAAGAGGCTTGGGTACCAGCAGAAGCTTGGGTACTAGGGTCCCATCTCACCTTCACCAATTATCTTCTGGAAAAAAAAGCTTGGACCAGTGAACCAACTTCTCTAAGCACCAGTTATTTTAAGGGCTGTTGAAAGGATTAATTAAGGTAACAAATGGCTGGAGGACTCTCCCCTTCCAGAGACCTGGATCCACAGTCACCAGCTCTCATTTCCCAAACAGAAAGGTGCTTCATTGTGCAGAACAGCAGGTATCCAGAGAAGAGTCGGATCAGAACATCTTGTTTCTGCTCCTGTGAGGGGAGGATGTTTGTGCGGGGACTGGAGATAAGAATTTGAGCAAAGGCCAAGAATGTCATCCAGTGGCTGTCAGTATCAATGGCAGGTAGCATTGAAGTCAGGGGAGCCTCCAGAAGTGAACTGGTGGCAGGGTTTCTGAAAGCAGCAATGAAAAATGACTCGAAAGCAAGAGAGCATGGAGGGAAAAACATTGAGCCAAGCTGTGACCCAGCACTTTCATCTAATTTAGTCTTTACCACAATCACTTTGCACAAAGGAGGACTTGAAAACTCAGGAAGGGCAAGAAACCTGCCCCAGATCATTGATGGTAGAACCCAAACTTAAACCACTACTAGAAATTATGAGAAAAGAACAAGGGGTATTTGGGCTGATTTCTATGAACTAACATAAAAATAATCAGAAACAAGAAGCAAACTGTTCACTGGAATCCTCTTTTTCCTTCAAAGCCTGACTTACATTGAATCTTCTACCTGCTTGATCATTCCAAACAAAGTGGTCTTCTCCTTATTCCTTTAAGTGAGATTAAAATATATATATATATATATATATATATATATATATATATATATATATATATATTTGTAGGTGAACACAATACCTTTATTTTATTTTTTATGTGGTGCTGAGGATCAAACCCAGTGCCTCACATGTGCAAGGCAAGCGCTCACCGTTCAGCCACAACCCCAGCCCAAGGTTTTTTTTTTTGGTGTTTTTTTTAATGCTATTTTTACTGTGCTCATGGCCCCTTCACCCTGAACCCATTGCATGCTTTGCTATCAAGGCTTCTCAGCCAGCAGAAGTGCAGCTCAGCAATGAATGGCTCATAAAGGCAAGGAGAAGGCCGGCGACCACAGTAGAAGGAGCAAAATCTCCATCCCAATCCTTGCCCCATCACTTGCCAGTGGTATGTCATTGTGCTCTTATTTTACTCCTCTCAATTTTCTCATCTTAAAAATGAAAATATTAATATCCTCTTGCAGGTTTGTTCAGAATTAGAGATGAAATACTTGGAACTCCTCATGCCTCTCATTTGGAACCTCTGTTTGCTCTGGCTTTGTTTCCACGCAAAGGGACATCAATGCATGTAGCACTCCTGGCTTCTTTCTGGTCCTGTGCTCACACTTTCCTGGGGAGGAGGAGTGAATGACCTGGTTGGCAGATTTGGAAGTACTTACTTTTCCTTTGGGCCCAGCTGCTGACACCAGCACACATTCCACTTGGCTGTTAAATTTTTCTGGGGAGGCTCAGTTCCTCAGGAGGCCACCACTGTCGAGGAAGGGGTGTCAAGTCATCTGATTCTGGTCAGCAGGAAAAAGAAGTCCAATGTTTCCATGAGCCTAGGCTGGGCCCTCTAAGATGGCTCTGTCATTTTGATCTCCACAGCCACAGTCCTCTCTTATTTTAAACGGTTCAGAACTGGGTGGAGAATACGTGAAGATAGTATCATTTAGAAACCTGCACTAATCTCAGCATGCTTAACATCGACATAGGAGCCATTAATTTGCACCAAAGCCAACCTTCTTGTGCTTCTAGTGCCAATTCTGCTCCTCTTTTGTCCTCTTGGGTGACTCCCTTGCCATGTTCTGTACCACGGCTCAGGTTCCTTCCCACCTGCCCCCCAGGGCTTTTCCCAGCAAGGCTGACCTGAGCTGGGACACTTCCTTCAACCCTGCCTCAGAAGAGTGAACTGCCAAGAAGCAAACACACACCCATCTCACTGGAAGCTTCTTACAGTACGTTTTCAGTTCTTTGTTCTTAAAGGCAAGATCTCTGATGCACGTAGGAGGCTCTTTGCTTGCTTTCCCTATTAATGTGAACATGTGAATGAAGGTGATAGCAATGTGAATTTTCAGAAATCAAGGTTTAATAAGTGAGAGCCACCCAAAGCAGTCATCCTATGATCAATTAGCCAGAAGTAGAACCGAGGAACAGTGGGATTTAAACACACACACACACACACACATACACGTATTCACCCAGCACGTCCCCTTTCCATCCCTGAGATCTTGAGCATAATAAATCACAGGGAGGAAATCCATTGCAACATTTACATGGGTTGAGGAATTCTAAGTGATTTTTACCTTCTTCTTAAGAATTTTCAGTGATTTTTAAAGTAAAATTTTTATGTGTGTATTGTAATTTTAATCAAAAGAAAAATTGATTAAAAATAAAACTCACCTGAAAAGAAAAATATATATATATATATATATTTATAAATGATTTTGAGAGACAGAAATTATTCCTCTATCCTTTAGTTATACTTGTTGGGTACCTACTAGTTATCAGGCACTGTGCCACTTGCCATGGAGGATGCGACGTACATAAACAGGACTCTTGTCCTGAACAGGATGTGGCAACATGAACACCACCTGCTCCACTTGAGAGTTGAACAGGTTGGGGAGCTAAGGTGATCGCAAGGTAAGAGAGGGACCAGTAGATTGTCTCTGATCAGTTAAATGAACTGTCACTGAGATCTATGTGCCAGGGCCTCTCCTGGATGCTGGAGAGGCCAAGCCAAATAGGGTGGGTGCAGTAATTGACGGCAGGAGGAAGGTGGGGAGTTTGGAGAAGGCTTCTTGGATGACAGCTGGATGGAGTCTTGTAGGATGAGCAGTTTGCCACGTGAGAGGGTGGGAAGAGTCAGAGGGCATTTTTTAATTTGTTCTTTTTAGATATACATGACACTAGACATATTATACATACATGAAATAAAACTTATTCCAATTAGGATCCCATCCTGTGGTTGAACATGATCAGGAGGTAAGCACTGAGTCATGGAGAATTCACTATGTATTGCCAAAAATGCTTGGGTTTGGTTTTGAAGGCAAAGGAAGACACAGTCACATTTGCATTCCTGCAGCTGTGTGGGGATGGATGGGGGAGGCAGCCACTTAGGAGAAGTCTCTCCCACTAGTCTGAGCTAGAGAAGGGGGCGAAGGCCAGAACAAGGGCAACAGAAGTGTGGAGACAGATCCAGATTGGAGGTGACTAAGAAGACAAAATCTGAAGGATTTGGTGAGAGTCTGGGTCAGGGCCTCAACCTTGTGCTTTAAATGGCCAAATAGTAAGCACTTTGGTTTTGTGTACCCAAGTGTCTCTGTCCCATCCACTCAACTCTGATGTTGCAGCTGTAGACAATACCTAAACAAACAGGCATGGCTGTGTTCCCAGGAAGCTTTATTTATAAAACTATGCCCTAGACTAGGGCAGAGATTCTCAGACTTTTGCCTGCACCTGAATCACCTGCAGGGCTTGTTAAAGCCCATGGCTGGGCCCCACCCAGAGCTGACAGTTTGCATTTCTCACAAGTTCCCAGGCACAGCTGCTAGTAGTCTGGAAACCACACCTTGAAAAATCTCTGGACTAAAAGCCTTGGGAATCAAAGATAACTCATGCACTTATCCATAGCTGCCTGGTGCAGTGGATAAGGCCCCAGGCTCTGGATTTGAGTCTAGTTCTGCCACTTATTTTGTGATGTCTCCAAGTCTGTTTCTCATCTGGAAATTGGTATCCTCTGGGCCCCTACCCTCTAGATGTGGACAGGCTGAGCTCAGTGAGGAATTGAGAAGGAAAGGCAGCAAGTGACAATGAATGTGGATGTAGGTGCTTTTAGAGGTGGGCAGCAAGAAGTGGGGACAGCTTCCACCTGGAGGCCTCAATTTGCTTTTGAAAATAAGAGGGAAAGTCCACCAGATAGGAGTAGTGGAGATTTGAGACGGTGTGAAAATTGGAGGCAGACAGACGTGCACTTGACCTTGGGTCTCCTAAGTGGTGGCCGAGCCTCCAGTTCTTTACCTCCGTATGGAGATCGCACCACCTTCTGCTGGGGATGTCACAAGAAAGTATCCAGTGACAGACGTGAGCTGAGGCTCCACGTAAGGCGGCTCTCACTGTCGTTTTCCTTGGGTGAGAGGAAGGGCCCAGGTTTGGAAGAGAGATGGCGGGGGATGTAGAAGAGTTGGGCAGTGGATAAATGAAAAACCTCCTCAGTGGCATCCAAAAGACTTACCTGAGAGACCTTTCAGGCTCACAGCTCTCGGCGCAGGCAGCATGGAATACAAGGAGTGCCGACCGCGAGGAACTGAGGTTCTTACTACAGTCAAAGCTTCCAACCCAAGAAGAAAAGCGATGGAAGCCAAGGTGCTCAGGGGCACCCAGACTGAGGATCCTCTGTGCCTCTCTTTGCCTGGGACCTTTGCCACATCCCTGAGTCTCTGGTGGTGACTCTCTGCTGCCTGTCCCAGGCAGGGGAAATCTTCCTGGAAGAATACGGGCGACTTTCCTGGAAGTCACCAGGATGTGGAAGAAGAGCTGGGAGTGGGCAGCCTGGCCCTTCAAGGATTATTGAAGGGCCCACAGTGGTAAACTGTGATCCAGAAAAGAGGCTGAAGCAGCCTGGCCCTGGGCAGGGCTGGGCCTCAGTTTCCTCATCTGTACAGTGGGGAGCTCCTTCCAGCACACTGTGATTCTGGTGGCTCAGGTTCGTGAAGAGGCACAGCTGGCACCAGGTGCCACTTCTGCTCCAGGGCAGCTCACTCCATAGTCCTCACTGCCTCCTAGCATGGAATCCTGCCTCCCCTCCTGTCCTTAATCCAGGATGTGAGATTTACCCACCCTCTTTACCACCCCCTCAAAGCCCTCAATGAAGAAAATGAGCCACGACTGTCGGCATAATAAAAGCTTATTGCTCTTCCAAGTTGTATGTTTAGGGTTCACTGGGTCCTCCTGGAGACGTGGCTCGAGGCCATGGGTGCCTCTCCTGGTGGTGGAATGTGGGAGAAGAGCTGGGGGTGGGCAGCCTAACCCGGAAGGCATCCTTCATCTGCTCTTGTATTGAGCCACTGCCTTGATTGCAGTATAAAGAACCATACGGGAACAGAGGAGAAATGTTCATTCTTTAATGGAGTTTATAAAGCTCTCCAAGGCATTACTTAATTTGGTCTTTGCAACAGCTCAGCAGCAGGCCTGGCCCATCTGAGCAGTTAGGCTCAGGCAGAGTGTGGGGTAGACCAGAGAGCCTGCACTGGAGATGGGCCGCCTGGGCTGGACTCCTGGCCATGGCCATGCCCCTAAACAACTGCAGCTGACCCTCCATGTCCGTGGCTTCTGCATGCTCAGAGTCAAGTAATTATGGATTAAAACTGCAAAAAAGTGGGGTATCTTTATTGAGTTTTTTCATGTAATTTTCCCCTAATAATACTGTGTAGCAATTATTCACATAGCATTGATTTCATATTAGGAGTCAGCCATCTAGATAGAGATGATTTGAAGCCCATGGGAGAATATGATGGGTTATGTACAAGGATCGTGTAAGGAAGGGTGATAAGATTGACAGCAAGCACTTCACAGAGTTATTCTGCTACATGGCTCAGTGTTTATGCACATTCTAGAAACAGAGTGATGGACATCTTCACTATTGTTCTGCTTGCCTGAATGAGCATCCCCGTCCTGCTGCCCGGGTGCCTGACCAGAAGGCAGGGGTGCACTCAGGGTCTCCAATCTACACCCCTCCCAGCTTTTCCCCCTTCTCCTGAGACTGGGTGCATGTCCAGGACCCCTTCTGCCCTGGTCGACTGAACCAAGGACAGCTGTGTAACCCAGGCTGTTCCCGTCAGACCCTGCCTTTGGGAAGCTTGGATTTTCTGGAACACAGTCATTCCAACCTGGGTGGTTCTTACACTGAGGACATGCAAACTTGGGCCCTGGGAGGCGGAAATGGACACACTAGGCAGAGGGGGAAACACAACAAGCGTGGGTGGAAGACAACTAAGACATCATGGAGTAAGAGAGAGGGAGAGGTGGGGAGGGAGACACACACTGGGCCAGTGGCTGCCTTGGTCCTGCCCGTTTCTGGTTCCAGTTCCTAAGAGGATCTGAAGGTGGTGGGTAAGTGGGTGGGCGCTACAGCCAAAAGTCTTGGCTTGAACCCACTTTTTACTCCTTATTAACTATATCATTTTGGACAAATAATTTTTAAAATTTATTTTTATGTGGTGCTGAGGATTGAACCCGGGGCCTCACACATGCTAGGCAAGCGTTCTACCACTGAGCTACAACCCCAGCCCCTTGGATAAATAATTTTAATCGCTCTGTGCCTACTTTCCTTGTCTACATAAGGGTGCCGAACAACAAATCCTGACCATTTGGTTACAATGTGCCCCAGTTGTTCTATAATGTCCTTCAGGTGAGTGTATCAGTCAACTTTTCATCACTATAGGGGAATACTCAAGGAAACCAGTTTTATAAAGAGAAAAGGTTTACTTAGCTTACCATTTTAAAACTTTGAAGCCCAAGTTCAGGTAGTCCATGGGTTTGGCCTCTGGTGAGATATTGAATGGCAATATATCATGGTGGGAACTGGTGAAGGAGCAAGTGGTCACATCATGAACAAAGTAGAGAGAAAAAACATGGATTATACTTGGCTGCTTCCTTTTATAACCCTCTCCTGAGAACTATGAAAGGGGTGACATGACAACTACCAAAAGGGTCTCATGAGAACTGCCTCACATCCCCAGTGATCTAAGAACCGCCCATGGGGCTCCACCTCCCATCAGCACCACCCTGGGGAATAAGCAATTAATACCCTTGGTGGACACAAATCACATTCAAACCATAGCCGTGGCATGGCCTGTGTCATCTGGGGAGTTACGTGGATCCTAGATACCCTCTTGACTAACTCTGAGATTTGGGATAGTATTTATCTCCTAGAACCTCACTTCTTCATCTGAAAAATGGAAGAGGACCCATCTCCTAGGGCTGTTGGGAGGATTAAGTGCTCAGTGTTTAATAATCAGCTCTGGGAACAGAGACTCAGATCTGTGCTATTTGCTGATTTCCATGGCACAAGCACTCCCACTGTGGCTGATTTCAAGGTACCAATGAAATGTCATTGAACGTGGGCTTGGAGAGAGACGTGCAGCACTATCTAGTAATTCCACTGCACAGATACAGCAGAAATTGCCTGAGCCTGGATAATGTTTAAGGCTAGTAAGGAACCGATGGGCTTTTATTATGTTTGGGTTTTATGTAACTTGTGTAATTGTGAGTTTACATAATATAATTTTAAACAACTGCAGTGTGTACTAACTAGCTTGCAAAATTCTTGAAAATTTAATAATCAGCTCCTGCAAACTGTTCCAAGCTGGCTCCATATACTATTGAATGTGCTAAAGCTCATATGGGGCCTGAGAGAAAGAGAGCTCAGCACATATGCAGAGCTCGATAGATGACAGACATGTGACGCTTGTCATTTGTTTTATTACCCAATCTGTGGTTGTCATAGGAAGTCCAGGGGAAACATTTTAAAAGCACCTTATGAATTTAAGGTCACTTTGTTTAGTTGAGGAACATAGACTTGAGGTCTGAGTATGTGACACGGTTTGTTCATGAAGTTACTGTGCTTGGCGTCAACTCAGAACTGAGACCTAGAAAAGAATGTAAAAACTCTGGGTTAAAAAGTCCATAAAAATTCTGATTTACTGCGACATCGTGTGTGATAGCAGAAAGTTGGAGGCAGCGCCTCACTAGGGCTGGGGAAGGGGGTTGTGGTGAGAGCGGTGGCTGCGGTTGGTGGTGACCACCCCGAGGCACACAGTGGTGTAACCTGTAGATGTTTCGCTCCAGGAATTAAATAAAAAACAGAGTGAAATCTGGAGGATAGTAATGTTCTGTCCTCTAAGGACATGCATTGCACACATTCATATGCACAAAAGAACTTTCCAAATATTACCAAGACACATACATATCATCTGTGTCTGTCCTGTCCAGGCAGGAAGAGGTGACCATACACACAGTGTGTAATTAGCACCTTAATAAAAAGACTACTTACAAAAGTAGGGCAGGAGTAGGAAAAGCACCCAGGGATGGCAAGGTGCCCCAGAGCTAGGGACAGTCATGTACCTAACTGTACCCTCCACTGGAAGGGGCCAACCAGGTTGAGAGAGCCATCTGAGAAGGTCTTCCTGCAAAGGCTGTGGAGATGTACTCGTCACCTGTCCTTCAAAAGACTTACTCCCTGGTGGTGAGGGAGTACAGGGATAGACATCCTGACCTCCCTCTCCCGCCACCTCTGGATCTCCTGAGGGTACCACACCAGCTAAACCTAATCAGGAGGCAGAGGGTCAGCCAGCCCATTGACATACACCCTACATATGAGCCCCCGGAGACCCAGGACTGGACTGAGAAACGGAGAGTGGTCTAGAGAAGCCAAGGGAAGCCCATCAGGGTGGGTGTGAATAGGGGGAGCAAACAGGGAGTGGGGACTGGAAGTTTAAAGGAACATCCTAAAACAAGTTATTTGCACTAACGGCCAAGGTTAATCATGTCTTGGGTGGAGGGTGTGATTAACTTGACTCTCGGCACCGGAAGCCAAAAGAGATAGCAAATCTGATATTTGCCGACAAGGCAGTCACCACACCAAAGGAACAGAGCACCCTTCCCCTGTACTCTTCATGGTGGGATCTGGTCCTCCCTTGGGCCTGTGGAGCTGCAGAGAGGGTTCACTCCTTGGGGGAAAGAATGGGCTGGGCACAGGGAGGGGCCAGGCGGGGACTGTTTCATGAAGAACAAGCAGAAATGTGGGGAGGGGGGCATGGAGAGGGTCTCGGGGATGTTTTTAAAATCTGTGTTCGTCAAGGAAGAGGAGAAGACATAGGCAATTAGGAAAGGACAGTATTTTTTCTTGTGACAAAGAAATATATATATATATAATATATATGTTTAGATCCGGGATGTTCTCCAAAGGCTCATGTGTTGAAGGCTTGGTCCCAGCACAGCAGTGTTCAGAGATGGGGTTTGGGGAAGTGATGGATCGTGAGGGCTCTGATCTTATCCATGGAGTAATCCACTGATGAATTCCAAGGTGGTGGGAACTGTAGTAGGAAGGTCCTAGTTGAAGGGAGTGGGTCTTTGTGGACATGGCCTTGGAGGCATTCTCCTGTCCCTAGGCATTCTCTCTCTCTGCTCCCCAGCTGCCCTGAGGTGAGCACTTTGTTCCACCACACCCTTCCACCATGATGTCCTTCCGTCTCACCACAGAGGCAGGAACAATGACCGTGCTGTGAAACCTCTGAAACCATGAGCCAAAACCAACCATTCCTCTTTCAAGTTGTTTTTCTATGTTGTCACAGCAACAAAAATCTGACCAACACATATTCTTTTGAATAAAATTGTCTGGTAGACAATACAATCAAATGCAAATGGTGGTTTTTTTGGTGTGAAATTAGGCTTTTTTCTTTTAATATTTGCTTTCTTGTGTTTTCTAATTTTTATAAGTAAATCTAAGTTATTTATGTAATAAGAATGGGTTCAATACAAAAAAGATAGTGCAAAACATGAATAGTGGAGGGGAATGGGAACAGGTGACTTCTGAAAATTGTGCTGTTTCTTCCCTCTATCCACCTTCTCCTCCTTCTCTCATTTATTCTTCTGTCCCTCTGCGTCCAGGTCCTGTTCATGACTTCTCTGTTTGGGGGAGCTGAAAGATTGAGTCATGCGCAGTGGCAGTCGGGGAGATGAGATGACCCAGGCTGAAAACATCATAGAAACAATTAAATTGGGACTACTGTCTGCCTTCACCGGGAGGCTGAATGGGAACTGGAAAGCGGTTCTTCTTGGAATTTGGTTCCTATGCTAGTTTCCTAGGGCTGCCATAACAGACGAACACAGATGGGGTGGCTTAAGACAAAAATGTATTGTCTTATAGTTCAGGAGGCCAGAAGTCGGAAGTGAGAGAGTCGCAGGTTAGTTCCACCAGGGCTCCGAGGAGAACCCTCCATGCCTTTCTCCCAGCTCCTGGTGGCCGTGGGCAATCCCCAGCCTCCTTGGCACCGTTGGCCCAGGTACACCATTCCACCTCTCAGCTCTGCATCATGGGGCTTCCTCCCTGTGAGCCAGTGTCTTCAGGCCTCCCCTTCTCATCCAAGTCCAGTCATTGGGGCCTCCCCTAACTGGGGCGTCCCCTAATCCAGTATGGCCTTTTTTAACTTGGTTACGTCTGCAAAGAGCATATTTCCAAATATGGTCATATATTTACAGGTATGGAGGGTTAGGACTTCAACTCTGTTTTTGAGTATGAAATTAAACCCACAACAGTAATATTTTTCTTTTCTTTTAAGAGAGAGAGAGAGAGAGAGAGAGAATTTTTCAATATTTATTTATTTTTTTTAGTTATTGGCGGACACAAAAAAAATGAAAATTGTGCTGTTTTTCCCTCTGTCCACCTTCTCCTCCTTCTCTCATTTACTCTTCTGTCCCTGTGCGTCCAGATCCTGTTCATGACTTTGTTTGCATGTGGTGCTGAGGATCGAACCCGGGCCGTGCGCATGCCAGGCGAGCGTGCTACCGCTTGAACCACATCCCCAGCCCCTATTTTTCTTTTCTTTAATAAAGAAAATCCATATTTGGGAATTTCCCTGATGATATAATCATAAATATCTTAACACTTCTTGTTGAAGTATAACACAATATGGGGAAATGCAAAAATTGCAAGCGTTCAGCTCCGGGAACTGTCACAGAATCCACAGCCACACGTCAGCACCTGACCAATCACAGAACATGAGCTGTCTTGGAGAGGTCTCCCTGTTTCCCTTCCTTGATCCTGACCTAACACCACAGTGTGGTGTGTTTACTTTTGAGCATTCAGAAAAATGCCAAGACTACCTTTTTGTGTTTGGTTTCTTTCGCTCGACATCATATTTGTGAGTTTCCTCCATGTCCGACGTAACCACAGTTTGTTTAATTCTGGTTGCTGTAGATTACGTCATGACTATTTTACAACTTTACTGCTGCTGATGATTTGGGCGACACCTCGGTGCTGTTTTTTCCTACTGCACACAGTGCTGCTAGTGATAATTTTCTACAAGCCAAGAGAGGAGCCAGTGCAAAGAGCCTGGGGCAGCTTGACTGGAGGGGGGTGAGGGAGCCAGGATGAGCGCTGGACATCCGAGGTCAGAGAGGGAAAGGTGAGTGGGATCCTGAAAGGCCCCTTAGTAGGTTTTGCTAAGGAGTCTGCCTTTCACTGTGAAAGCAACAGAAAGCCAGTGGCAGGTTTTAAACAGAGGGATGATACGATCTAATCTTTTAAAATATCCCGCTGGCTGCTCCAGGAGGCACGAGGGGTAAGAATCGAGGCCTGAGCTGGGAGCCATTTCACGAGTGTCAGAGAGAAAAAAGCCAGGGTGGAAGTGGTGGAGATGTCACGGCTGAGTGGATCCCAACAGGGACTGGAGACGGCGATCGGGGCGTGCTGCGGGGTGGGCTGTGCTCCATGAGGAGGGCTTTTATGAACTCAGTCACTGGGTGCCACTAACTGAGATGGGGGCGAACTCCGGAGCAGCCCGGGGAGAACATGAGAATTTTAAGTATGCTTAAAATGGCTTTGACGAACTTGAAGATGACTGTTGGGAGCCCTGGTGGGGACATGAGCAGGCTCCATGGATGCAGGGGATGTCGGTGTGTGTTCAGGGCAGGGACTGTCCAAGATGAGCACCTTGGAGTGAGTTAGTTCTCAGCATCCCGAGAGCATCCGTGGCCATGGGCTGAAGAGATGCCAGGCAGAGTGTGTGTCAGGACAAGAGAAGGAGCCCAGCCTGGACCCAGGGCTCTCCGGCATTCACAAATGGATCAAAACAAAAGCTGAGTCCCAGCAAAGGTGACTGAGGAAGAAGTTGGCCCTCTGTGAAGGAAGACTCAGGGCGTCGGATGTTATGAAACCCAAGAAGACAGTGGAGGAGGAGAGTGACCAACCCTTGTCGATTGCTCTTGAGATTTGGAGTTCAATGAGGATGAAGATTTGGATTTGGTAGCCTGAGGTTGGTGGAACATTGGTAAGGACGGTATGATTTGGGGGAGTTGGGGAGGCGTGGGAAGGATTCCTGTGGGGAGTGGAAGCTTGTTGAGAGTGTTTTGAAGACAGACCTGGAGCGAGGAAGTAGCTGTGAGCTCTGGGAGGTGATATGTCATACAGCACATCACCTGTGACATCCACACCAGCCTCCCCAGTGACCAGGCTGCTGCTCCCCCTCATTCGCATTTGAATCCTCAGTGCTTGGTACAGCATGCCTGGTACATAATAGATGCTCACTAAATTGTTAAAATAATGCTTCTTAAATGAAATCCTCTGACAGACCAGCAGGTGCTGCATACATAGCCTTGGGGACACCACTTAAGCTTTCATTGTCTCTCATCTTTTAAACAGGAAAATTGCAAAGTGGAGAGAACAATCTTAACCTCACAGTGTTATTGTGAAGAGGAAATTAAATACCCAGTGTGAGAATCAGTGGCTCACCATACAAACATGAGTTAGAGCCCTTGTGAGCAGATGACAGAGAAGCCACCAGACTCCAGCTCTCTGAGACACCTGGCACATTGTCCCCTGAAATTTCACTTGCAAAATCAATTCAAATTGGCTTCAATACAGACACTTCCTCATGAACTGAATGTCAGCCAAAAGACGCCGAACAAAGAGCCGCAGTCTTTGTTGGCATCTCAAACGACAAGGCCATGTTCACCCGAGAGGCTGGTTTGGGGATCAACCTTCTCAAAAGAGGTCTTTATGCACCACCTGGGAAGTTCTAGCAGGAAGAATTTTATTATTAGGGGGGCTACAAAGTGAAGGGGTTTACCAAGTCCATTAAAACCCGAAACTTACAGATGAACTTGAGGCGTACGATGGGTGGCATTAGAAGACTGGTTTGCTGAGAAAGTGGTAGGACTTCCTCACCATCCCCGTTATTCATCGAAACAGGCAATTACAAGGTTCTGCTCTCCTCAGCTAAAAGTGATGAAAACCAAGATTCAGAGAATGGCCTGCTTAGGGGTGCACTGTAATCAACAGCAGAGCCAGGATTAAGCTCAGGCCGGGCTGACTCCAAGCCCCGACTAGAGGCAGGGTTGGGTGTGACGATTCGTTGGGGGCCAGAGCTTTGTCCTTTGTTCTAGCCATGGGCTGGCTCCTCCCAGCCCCCTGCGCACATGAGCATCTGTGGGCATCTGAGGGCCTCCCTGTCCCTGCCCTGGTCTGGGGCAAGGGTGTCTCATCTTCCTTTTCTCTGCAGTGTGAGGACGGTCAGCTAGTTTTCTGGGAGCCAAGGACAGTGAGCAAGGGCTCAGAGTGGTTTTGCTGCGCGGGTAGGGAGGGGGCCTTGCTCTGTGGAAGCCCTCAGTGCCAGGGGATGGATTTAGCTGCCCTCCCTAGTTGGCTGCGGGGGAGGCGGCAGGGTCCTGTCAGTCAGAGATGCAGGCTTAGCTCCAAAAGGGCTTTTGTCTGAGGCCGGGCCTCAGGCCAGAGTGACATTCTTTGGTGGAGGCTGCCAGGCCCCCACTGAGCAGGGCACCTGCGGGACAGGCAGGGAAGGAGCGAGGGGCAGTCTCTCTTCCAGAGAAGAGAGAGCCTGGCTGGTAGAATCTGCTATTTGGGGGCCCCTGGGGGTTGGGGCCACGCCGGCAGGCGCTTCAGGCTTGAGAAGGGACGCCAAGGCCCAGGCTGACCAGAGTCACGGACAATCAACTTTTCAGCTTCTGTCATGTCTGATAAAAATCCCCGGAAGACGAAAGAAATCTCTCCTTGGACAGATTCCTAGAATCCTAAGATCACAGACTTCAACGCGAGAGACCTTGGAGGTCTCTGCTGCGGTTCCCACACAGTGTGCCCGTCACCTGTGCGGGGTACTGTCGGTGCCCACCCTGGCCCCTTGGCAGGTAGGCACACCCCTGCCCCGTGCTGTGAGGGGCGCCTGCTCAGCTGACAGCTGCCCCCTTCTCTGGCAAATTTCCCTCAGATTCAGGAGCCGACTCTCCAGCCCTGCAACCTGGAAGGGTCTCCATTGCAGACTATGGCTGACAGAGAGGCCCCAAGGAGCTACCTCCTGGGCAGTGTCCACACTCCAGGGCCCTGGCCCCAGGCTGAGGCCAGTCTCTGACTGACACCACCTCTGTCCTTACTGCCTCCTTTGCGGGTTCTGCTTTTCTCTCTCCCCTCCTTCCAAAAGTTCTTCCTCAATAAATCCCTTGTACAAGAATCCTATTAGGTTCTACTTCTCGAAAGCCTGACCTTGGATGCCCTTCATTTCAGTCCACAATTATTGAGTGCTTCCCATGTTCCAGAAGTGTTTGGGGTGCAGGGAGCCAGTCAGCATGACTTTTCCCTCAGTGAGCTTAGAGTCTAGTCGGAGAAGACAAATATGTAACTATCATAAAAATCCGATTGTGATTAATACTATGTATCATGGATATGAAAGTATGAGGAAGGGGGCTGGGGATGCGGCTTGGGCTGGGGATGTGGCTCAAGCGGTAGCGTGCTCACCTGGCATGCATGCGGCCCGGGTTCGATCCTCAGCACCACATACAAAGATGTTGTGTCCGCCAAAAACTAAAAAAAATAAATAAATAAATATTAAAAAATTCTCTCTCTCTCTCTCTCTTAAAAAAAAAAAAAAGTATGAGGAAGGGTAACTGGAAGGTTCCAGTAGGTCTCTGAACTCTACCTCTGCCCTTCTTTACCCTGCTTTCTGATGCTGGGGCTGGGACTCTGCAAATTCCACTTGTAGGTGCCCTTGCTAACTGTCTTTTTGTTAAGTTCAGCTCAGGGGACACTAGGAGGAGACCGGCGGGCAGAAGGAGGGCAGAAGGAGCTCACTTCCTGTTTCCTCTTGTTCTTGCCAACTTCACCACAGCTGGGTGGTGCTCTCTTCTCAGATGACTGAGCACCAGCTCCACCATGACCTGTTCCCAGGAGCAGCAGATGGCTGCAGTCCCCAGCACTAGCCCTACATGGCCTCTTCAGATAAACCAGCAGTAACCTAAACTCCTAGGTTCTGGAAGCTTCCTTTCTTTCCTGTGTTTCCTAATCCTGGGTTTGGTTACTCTATCCCTGAACTAGTTACTATTGTCCCTGAGTTACCTCATTGTCTCTTTTTGCTCAATATGACAGGAACTGTATAATCAAGCCCCTGTGTTAACCTCCCTCCCATAGAAATGCCTAGTGTGGTCCTACAGCCCGCTCTGGACCTGACCCCTACACGGAGAGTTCAGCCTGGACCAGTGGGTCAGCAAAGGCGTCTGAAGAAATGCATTGAGACCTCAGATCTGAGGATCAGTATGAGTGTATCTGGGAAGAAAGAAAACACAGAGGAAGCTAAATACAAAGTCTCTGAAGTAGAATCAGAGGCGGCCCATGTGGTCAAAGTGCTCTAGAAAAATATAGGGAGGTAAGTAAAGGTCACATTGTGCAGAACCTTGGGAAGACAGGAGCCACTGCAGAGTGTTAATCTGGACAATGACACGAGTAACTGTAACGAGAAGGATCGAGAGTAGTCATCTTCCCATTTCTGCTACCTACACCCTTCTGGTGTCAAAGAGTCCTCATGCCCTGTCTTCTCCATTGCTAGAATTCTTTCCTTCAGAAATGGTGCAGCCACTGTGAATGGATAATTATGAATGTAATGCATTCCACTATTGTCATGTATGAAATAAATTATAATAATAATAAAAAGGTGCAGCCAAAGCTCTAGTTATGCACATTCAGCTGGTATAAATTTGGTATAAATGGTATAAATTTTAAAAGGGGGGAAAATGTGCCCCATCAGAGTAGATGTAACTCATCGCATGGTTTGTTGAAAGGAAACATCTTTATATGATGAATAAATCCCGCTTCCTCTGGCAAAGCCCCAGCCAGAGTCAGACCTGAGCTCCAGTGTCACCTCCACTTCCTGTCGTGAGCATGTGACCTAGCTCCTCAGAGTTCCTGTTGCCTCATTGGAAAACTGGGGATAGCAACATGTGTGTCCAAGGACTCTTGGGATTGGGTACCCTTAGGTCCTGTTTGCCTAGCAACCAGCTCAGTGACTGTGCCCAGCAGGCTCTAAAAGAAAGATCAAAATTTTGATGGTTGGTTAGTCTTGCCAACTGTCCACTTCAGCAGAGCTCCTCAAAAGCTGATCGAATCTCTCTTGCACATGAGATTATTGAACCATTTGGCACTCACTCTTTGGGATGGTCTTATTTAGATGCTCTTGTTGGCTTTCTGGGTCAAATCCTGAGTTGTCCCCACCCTGAATCCCAAGGCACAAGCCTCTGCTCTTCTAGGTTCCCCAACAATCCAGCCATCCGATGGCTTTCCTGACATGGCAGCTGGCTCTGACGCAAGCTGATGGGGTTTTCAGGCTTGAGAGGGCTTGTGTTTCCACGAGTTGGCTTAACAGGGACACAGGAAGCAAATTTCCCCGTGTGTCATTATTTGTCATGGTGGGATTACACATCAGGGCCACTTCCTTCTTAACCACACAACACATGTAGAGAAAAAATGCCTTGGACAGCAAATAGCACTCTCCTGTCCCGGCTGGGCAGGACAACGGGAGTCAGCTGCCCACCATTTGTCGAACCTGGACATTCTGTGATGTACAGGCCTGTCCTGCCTGTGCTTACTGAATGAACGGTCAGGTTCAAAAGCATGAACATCTTTCTTTTTTGGCGAGGTGGGTAAGTATGGGGATTGAATTTAAGGGCATTTGACTCCTGAGTCACATCCCCAGCCCTATTTGTATTTTATTTAGACACAGGGTCTCATTTGAATTGTTTAGCACCTCTCTGTTACTGAGGCTGGCTTTGAACTCGCAATCCTCCTGCCTCAGCCTCCTGAGCCTCCAGGAGGACAGATGTGCGCCACTGCGCCTAGAGCATGGACATCTTTCTGTTTGTTCATTCACTTACCTGTCTAGTGTGGATCCTGTGCTGAGCACACCCATGCGCACTCTCTCGCTCTCACATCTCCATTGCCACAGGGGTAGTTTGCCTAGGGTCTCGCCTGCTGTTGTACAAGCAGAATCTGGATTCAAAGCCATGTGTCTCACTCCCAAACCAGTGTTTTAAACACAAAGCCTCGCTGCTCTTATTGTCCTACAGAAGATGGGCTCTTGGGCGGCACTTCCCATCTTTTTGTATCTTCCTTCCCATCAGCAATTCTTGTGTGTGTTTGGGGAAGGGGGTGGGGATTAAGGGTGAGGCGGACACAGGTGTGTGTTTAGGAACCTGCAAACAGCTACAAGCAGCCTAGCCTCAGCCCACGATGCAGCTCATGTAAAGAACCCAAGGCCTTCAGTATTTTTTTCATGGCCCCTTGTGGTGTCATTCCGCCTGCAGCAGTGCTGATCCGACCAACTGAGCTCTTTAAAACAGTCACACACACCACGCATTGCGTTGAGTGGGAGGAAAAAAGTCCATCTCTTTTGCCTCCAGGCAGTTTAGATCCTGAGCTGCAATTTTATGTCCAGGACTCCCAGGGGACCCTGTGGATCTGTATAGGGAGAGAAAGTTGCAGATTCTTTGCAAGAGAGATCACCCCAACCCAGGACTTCCACGAAGAATAAGATGCGTCCGTCCACGGTGCCCCTCAGGCGCGGCCTTTCTGCTTGGCAGGAGGTGTGAACGGTGGCCCTGTGATCTGCTCTACAGAAACCTGGATGCCGCAGTCTGGCTGGGCACAATCAGGAGCCACTTGTCAAAAGAAACTAACTTTATTTTTAGAACCACACACGACAAACAAAATAGTCTCTCAGGAAAAACCCTCAGAGCCTCAACTGCCACCACCGGCTTTCCCCAAGCCTCTCTCTCCCCCACAAGCTTCTCCCCACCTCCCACAATCCTCCTGCTCTTGAGGCCGATTGGCTGGGTCACGTGGGCGGAGCCAAAAAAGTCCCCCAATGAGCAGCTCCGTGGTCTGAAAGGGCAGGGAAACAGTCCAATGAGCATCACCGCAGAGGAGCCAATCAGCTAGATGTTGCTGGGGCCGAGGAGCCAATCAGCTAGATGTTGCTGGGGCCGCTGTGAGCCAATCATCAGCCAGCAGCTGGAAGTTTGCTGGCAGCTGGAAGTTTGCTGGGGCCCCTTTGGCTGTGGCTCTCAACATCTCCCCCTCTCTGTTTAAACAACAAGCATGTGGCTTAGGGACCGTGCCTGTTAGGCAGTCCAATTCAACATATGGTCCTTACCCGTCATCGGATGAACTGACCTCTAGGCGTCAGCCTCCTGTCTTAGGTTGGTACCACTGCAATTGGATCATACCCATCACTGACTACCGGTCCAGCATACAGCCATACTTGTGGATAGGCCTTTGCACCTGTGGGGGGGTGAGGTTCTTTGCCTCACCTCTGTTGGCCCCCAAATTTTAGACCATCACTAGTAGAGGAGGATGCAAAATGCCATGACATTAAGCCAATTGAGGGCTCCTAAATTGTACCACCGGTGACACCATCAGCAAAAATACTCCAGCACTACCGCAATTCGCTGTACCAACAGATAGTTCACAATGCATACAGGTGAGCTCACAATGTGTCCAGGCAAGTTCTGCAAGCAGTTCAGTGATGGCTGTTGTAGAAGCTGTAGATTGGTTTTATCTTTGACTTCACTAGCACTGGGATGAAGATAGGAATTCTGGCAATAATGGCTAAAGAAAAAATTATGTAACATTACAGAAGGCACTAAAAGAAAACAATTTTCTTAACAATTTACATTGTCTTCACCGGCACTGGGATGAAGATAGGAATTCTGGCAATAATGGCTAAAGAAAAAATTATGTAACACTACAGAAGGCACTAAAAGAAAACAATTTTCTTAACAATTTACATTATCTTTAAGAGAATTATTAAATATAATGAAAAGGAAAGGTGAAAGTAAACAAACAGATCTGTTAACCTTCTTTTTTGTTTACATATTAAAACAATCCTCAACAGTTGTTTACCCAATTTAAATTAAACCATATAAATCACGTGAAAAAAAATATTTGGATCCATTTTATCATGAGCGCTCATCATATATGATATATGGACATACGTACATTCAAACATATAACACAAAACACAAGTGTGCACACATAATATAATACATACAACACATAACATTATAGTAAAGGCCTTATAACTTTTTACAGGTGAAATCTCCATTGCAATGTTTAAAAACTCTATAGTCAAAAAATAGAACTGATCAGCAAAACATTAACCTAGGTCTGTATGAGCTCAAAAAACAAAATAGAACTTCATGATATGGCAAAGGGCAATAATAAAATAGATATTGAAAAAAGCATCCTGGTTCTGTTGCAGATGTAAGAATAGCCAAACTGGAGTTTTGGATATCAGTTGTTATGGATTTGAGCCAAATCATCTTCTTTTTGGTCTGTAGAAATCGCTTTAGTTAATCTTTCTGGAATCCAAATCGGCTGCTGTTCTCCCTGTGGAAACACATAAACAGACCCCCGACTCCAGACAATCACTGGGTCAGGACCTTGGTTAATCTCTCTGGAATCCAAATCGGCTGCTGTTCTCCCTGTGGAAACACACAAACAGACCCTCGACTCCAGACAATTACTGGGTCAGGACCTTTCCATTGTCCTGTTAGAATATCCTTCCAAAGCACCTTGGGCTTATGTACATTTTTTGGACACATATGCCTTTCCGCAGCACTAAGTCCTGATGAATCCAAATTTAAAAAGTTTAGAGTAAAAAGGGTTATTTTAAGTTTATCTTTGGGGAATATATACCCCTTCCCAATTCCTTCTTTTTGCTTTAAATAAAGGATTAGATGGTAAGTGGTTATCAAATGAAACATTAGATT